GGTCTCTCTCCCAGGTTCTGTGCTAAACTTTACTTTTTTCTCATGTTTCCTCCTAGAAAAGTGTTAGGCCCACCTTACAGATGAGAACGTTGAGGCTGACTGAAAGTAACATGTCCAAGGCCACAGAAAGCTTCAGTGGCAGAGCCAGAGTTTGACCCCAAAAAGAGTGTAACACCAGAGCCCACAGAGGGAACCTCTCTCGGTGGGCTTCCGTCTGTAGGTTGAATATTAACCTCAAAAGGGGTCCCTGAATTTTTGCCAGCACACCCAGTCCAAGTCAAAGCAGATGATTTTAGTGTATAAAGAAGTTATTTCCTGGAAGACGATTTGGATTTTCTCTAGAGCTGGCCTTTGAGGCCTGTCTTTACCCCCGTCCTGTCCCTTCATGCTAGGCAACTTCCCCAAGAACCTCCAGGAAGATGCAGCCCTTCTTGGAATTCTTGTGGCTTCTCGGTGGCCTCTAGTGGCCTCCCTTTCCTAGTGGCCATCACTGGACAGGGAACGCTGCCTTGCTGGATCCTAAGTTCCTAAGACCGTGGTAGCCTGATACAGTCCAGTGACCTGGCAGCCTCGCCCATGACTGGCTCTGCTACCTCTGTGAGCCCCAGCTTCTAAGACGGGCATCTGTGGGGCCCACTTAATAGGGCACCGAATGAGTTAAGTGAAGACCACTTCACAGAATTCCTTGCATCTAGAAGTCTCTCAGTAAATCAGAACAACAGCAACAGCGGCAGCCAACAGTTTCAGGGTGTCCAAGCCTCACACTTATTAGGCATTTACACTTAATCCTCACGGCAGCCTTCGAAGGGAGGGGCTGAATCAGCCCCATTTCACAGATGAGGTTGCTGAGGCATACAGAGAGTGAGCAGTGGCTTCATCGCTTCCCCCTGTGTCCTTCTCTCACTTCCTGGGCCCCAGTGGCTACGTGGCCACAGGCACCCTGTGTAGGTGGTCGAGTGTCAGGCTTAACGAAATGGGCACATGCACATTTAGCATCCCTCCGAAGAGGAGTGCAAAGAGGCGCTTTCTCCCAGCCACACTTTTTTGTTTGTCAAAGGCTTCCTGAGCCCTATGGGTATGTGAAAACAACATGCCCGGCCCAGGGAGCACAAGAGCTTGGTGACAGCTCCTGAGGCAGAAGGGAGAAGGCAGAGGGTTCTCACTCCTGCCAGGAATGCGAAGAGCCATTGGAGTTCAGTACCTTGGGCAAGGGCTTCCCAGAGGAGGTGGCCTTTGGAAGAGCCTGGAAAGCATGGATGGCATTTTCAAGATGGAATGGAACTTGCCAGCCTGAGAACAGGCACAGAGGCCCCGGTATTTGGGAGCGCTTCCCAAGCTGAACGGTGGCCGCTGACACTGCAGGTGGCTTCTGGCTTTGATGCTTCTGTGGGTGGAGCAGGATTGTCAGGGCAGTTTTGGCTGGACAGGAATGTGGCTGGAAGCAGCTTATGGTGTGTGTGACAGGGGGCAGGACATGCTGGATTAGGGTCGTACAGAGTAGGGCAGAATTATTAAAAAATGCCAGGCACCTGTGACCAGGCCAAGCATGTCTGCAGGTTAAGCTATGCTTGCCGGGGGAGGGGCGGGGAGAAGGGCTCTTAGGCACTCTCCAGACCCTCCTCCCATCCCAGCCAGGCCCTGCCTTTCTGGTAGCAGCCCAGGGGTCTGGCTGGCCCTTCATCCTTGGGCACAGGCATTCCCCCGGTGGTGGCGTCCGGGTCCAGGCAGTGGCATCACCTCAGCAGGGCTGCTGGGAGGGCCTGCGGGGGCGAGAGCCTTCTCTGAGACAGCAGAAGCCCGTCTCCCCCAGAATGAGATGAGTCACAGTCCCGTCGGTGCGGCTGCCACTTCTGCGTCTGCGGCAGGTGCGTGTGGAGGCAAGCTCGTGCTGAGACCGTCCCACACGCGTGCGCCTCTGTTCCCCAGCACACGGGCGGCGCCCGGCAGGGCCTGTGTGTGCGTGGACGTGTCCTCCGTACGCCTGTGTGCGTCTTTGCTCTGCGCCAGCGAACCTGCCAGCCAGGCAGCGGGGTGCCCAGTTTGGGAACATTGGTTAGCTTTGCTTCTCACCAAGTTTGGGGCAGAGGGGACGAAACAGGAAGAAGCTGGTTTCCGCCCGCAAGGCCCACACACGGAGCTGCGGGCCAGTTGGGAGCTTGTTTGTGGGCCTGCGGAGCGTCCCCGGCTGAGGTGGGGAGGCAGCGCTTGCTCACTCCCTGGTCTCAGGCAGGGCCCTGCTGGCCCCTGGGGGTTCCCATGGGGGTTCACTTCCTGAGTCTGGCCAGGCCTGTTCTCAAAGGACAGGAACCTCGGTCTGAAGGCCATGAGCCTGGCGGTTGGCGGGAACTGGTGGGGCAGAAGTCCTGGGCAGAGGAGGCACTCAGCCTTGGGTTTTGTTCAGTTGTAGGGACCCCAGCACACCTAGGACATGGGCCTTGGGGACGCCAGGTGTCCAGGGGGTCTCCTCTTTGTTTTGTAAAAGCGTGACCTGTAGAGCCTCCCTGTGAGACTTGGGTGTGCCAGTTCTGGGACCAGGTGGTGTTCAGGTCCCCAGTGACCTCCTGGGAGACAGAGGCTATTCCAGTCCAGCCTCTCTGAGGAGCAGGCGCATTGCTACTTTCCTGTGTTTCTCTGCACTGTCCACTCCCTCTGGGCTCTCCGTCTCCAATCCGCCACCTGGAGAGCAGAGTCTGTCACCATCTGTCACCTTTGGCCCAAGCATCTGGGTCTCCAACGGGCCAATACCCGTCATCGTGCCTGGCCAGCTGAGTGCCCTGAGTACAGCTCCTCTACTCCAGATGCGAGCCCTGCAGTTTCCCCAGAAATCACGAGCAGTGCCCGGCTGGGAAAGCCCTTTGGCTGCATTCTCCTCTTTGAGCCACTTCAGACTTAGGCGACCGAACCAGTGTTCGAGCTGATTTGACCGAGACCAATACAAATGCACATATTACACCTTGACCCAAGGTGCACGTGTGTTTGTGTATAAAACCAAGACACCCAAGGACTAAGACTCATCTTTATTGTGCTCACACTCCGTCACTTTCTACTTGATAGTTTTTCCCTCCTGCTGGCTGGATGTCATCACCCACTCAGGTTCTGTGACCCGCAGTTGGAAAACACTGAGTAGAGTGGAGGTATCATCTTATGCCCATTTTACAGATGAGGAGTTTGAGTGCAGAAACTTGCACCAGGGTCTGTCTCTGCCATCACAGAGCTGTGCTAGAGGCAGATGGACAATAATCAAATAAATACAGAATTAGGACAGTGGTGGAGTGCTGTGAAAAAAAATTTCAATGCCCGGGTAAGGGGCAGGCGGCATGGGGTAGAAGTTGCTCTTTTATATGAGGAGGGTGGGGGAGGCCCCTCCAGTGATCTCATACAGCGAGGGGCTGGCCAGGCTGAGAGATCTAGGGGAGAGGGCCTCCAGGCAGGGGAGAGGCAGGTATGAGCAGACAGTGGCATTGTCCTGCTTTCTAGGCTGCTCACCTCTGCAGGAGCCCGTCCAATTTGACCAGCATAGCTGAGAGCTCAACCGGGCAAAGCTCAGAGCATGAGACTGGGCTGCCCTGGTCCCTGCTGCCCATGGGTCACGCAGGCCTCTACCTCCCTCTGGGAAGGCCTCACCTCTGGGCTGGGCTCCTTGCATCCCCAGAGGTGCCTCCCCAGCACCTCTATCCCCGCTTGCCCGGCTGCTAGGGCTGGACTGGCCCCTCAGCTGGGATGCGAGTCTTCCAGGTGTGACTGAGAGCCTTTGCCATCTGCTGTCTCCTGTGACTAAGACACAAGCCAGACAGAGGCACGAGGCTCTTCCCTATTGCCCAGCCCTCCTCAGTGCCACAGCTATGCGTGCGGTTCTTTTCTGCTCCTCCTGGTTCCACATCTAGAATTTTGTGACTTGGTGAGAAGGTGGTGCCAGAGAGCCAGTGCAGGCTCTAGGGGTAGAGGAGGCTTCAGCCCCACACTCCTGGGAGATGGACTGCCCGTCTCTGGGATCTGCTGGCTTCACTCTTGTGCACCCCTACAGTCAGTAGGAAGTGTCCCTGGACACTCATTAGGCCTAGGCACAAGGGGTGGGGCTGAAGGCTGACTCCCTGCTTCTGATGTGTGGGAGCTCCTTGGGGAGATGTCCACACATATGTTGGGTACCGCTGGACCTGATGAGGGGAGCGGGGGAAATGTGGTCCTGGTTGGTAGAGAAGAGGCAGTGTTTAGGGGCAGCTCCACCAGAGGACAGAGCCAAAGTGCGGTAAGGGAAGGGTGGGGTCCACCAGAGGAGTAAGTCGTTCTTAAGTGAGAGTTTAGACTTTGCCTCGTAAACACTGGAAGCCACTGAAGGTCTTTGATTGTGCCAGGCATCTTAGGTGTTTGAGGGAGATTAACTCGAGGGGGATGTACACAAGAGATCGGAGTGGGGGCAGGGGAGGGTGCACCGCAAGTAAGACCTGTACCCACGTTGCTGGGGGTTGGGAAGGAAGGGTGCTGGAAGAAAGCCTGCATTCCCACGGCCCAGGCAGCCAGCCTGCTGTGAAGGGCTGGGAGGCAGAGGGAAGAACTGATACCCTCAGACTTGGACCCTTCCAACCTGTATTGAGAAGGGACCGGGCAGTTCTGAGGGGAAGGTGGTTTGGGGGAGCCCAAGCTCTTCCTGAGCCATGTGGAGTCAGAGCCCAGGTAGAGGAGGAGCTCAGATTGGGCCTCAGGTCACACCACTTCATCTGTTGCATGAGCTGTGGACTTGGGGCTAAGGGGAGACGCATAGCCGTGGAAGTAGCTCTCGCAGCGATCAGGGGAAAGGAAAGGTGGCCACTTCTGAACAGCCTGTCACCATGCAGGGCACATTGTGCACTGGGCACTGAGATGGGCCTGGGGGGTCCAGAACTGACTCAGATGGGGGTTACCCAGGACTGGGAGCTGCGGGTCGCTTGGTGGGGTGCTGGGCATGGCCCGCCTGAACCTGTGCCTGCCCGGCCCTCAGCATCTCCCTCTGTCTCCCTCTGCAGTGATGGGTCGTTCCCCTACGACTCTGTCCCTTGGCAGCAGAACACCAACCAGCCTCCCGGCTCCCTCTCCGTGGTCACCACGGTTTGGGGAGTGACCAACACATCCCAGAGCCAGGTAAGACCCTATACTGCCCTCAGCCACATCTTCTTCTAGGTGGGAGTGTCCCTTGACCCTTGGAGCCATACCAGCCCTTTTCGCCCTCCCAGGCCCTGCCCGGCGGGGAAGACCAGCTTCCAGGGCACACCCACCTGTGGACACGTCTCTACCCCTGGCAGGCTCTCACGTACCTCAGGAGGGCAGCCTCTGTGGACCATCCCCATCCTAGGGCCCTTCTGGGGGAATGGCATTGTCTGACAGACAGCAAGGGCTTCTTCCCTAGCCCACATTTGCTCTGGAAAGCAGGAGAATTTTCTCTGTGTTATTGGCCTCAGGGATCCAAGATCTGAGGTCTCTGGCCCTAAATGGATGGCCTGAGTTAAATTTCATCGAACTATTGTGCGTTGGACTTCTGACAACTCCCTAGCCCCCGTCGCCCTGGTCAAGCCCACCTCACTCTCATTCCTTCCTATTTCTTCCTCTCCTCTTCTGCCTGGTCAGTGGGTCTCCCCCCGTCTAACCTCTGCCAGCCTGGGCTGTGGCCACATGGAAGCTCAGGGCTGTCGGTGGCCCTGGAGAGAGCCTCTGGGCTGACCTCTTGTCGTCAGCTCCTGCCGCCCTCCAGAGCTAGCAGGGCGGGTTCCTCTTGGTCCTCACAGAGCAGCAGCCGGGGGCCTCAGGGCCCCTGTGTGGCAAGACTCTGGCCTCCAGGCTCATTTGTGAGGCAGTGGGCTGCATAGCCAGGGTTTTCCCCGTGCCCACGCGGTGCGGGCGCAGCCTCTGGGGACCCCCTTGGGACTGCTTGAGCTGGCTTTATGGGGCTTGGTCATGCCCTCAGCTTGTTCCGTCACAAGGCTGACGTTCTCATGCCCCGCTCCACCTGCCACCCAGGCCTGCCCCCTGTCACCGGTATACTCGGAATCGTTCATCATTCCCCATGCTTCTCCTCCCTGTTGCCCTGCCTCCACTTCGTTCTTTCTCCCTTTCCCCTCTTCATTTATCCCTCTTCTTCTCCATGCTGCCTGGGGTAGCACCTTAGGTGACAACCTCTCTCTCTTTCCACAGGTCCTTGGGAACCCTATGGCCAGTGCCAACAACCCCATGAATCCAGGCGGCAACCCCATGGCGTCGGGCATGACCACCAGCAACCCCGGCCTCAACTCCCCGCAGTTCGCGGGGCAGCAGCAGCAGTTCTCAGCCAAGGCCGGCCCGGCTCAGCCCTACATCCAGCAGAGCATGTACGGCCGGCCCAACTACCCCGGCAGCGGCGGCTTTGGGGCCAGGTGAGGGGGGCTGGCCTGCAGTGGAAGCCGTGAACCCTGCCCTTCTCCCTCCTTCCAGCAGGGAGGTTCCCATTTAAATCCCAGCTCTGCACTCTCCACCCTGAGAACTTATCCTCTGCTGTCCCATGAGTGGAAGGGGCCCAGTCATCCCTGGCTCCCGGGGCTGGTCTGCAGATGAGGCACTGCAGCAGCTGGACTGTGTTCCAGTAGTCCTCAGGCTCATGGAAATAGAAAGGTGATATTCTCGAGCCTCAAAATGACCCTTCTCTGAATTGTGTCTTTAATAAATTGGAAGATATTGAGAAAATCTGGATTGGGAACATTGAAGAGCAGGTATAGTGGGGTCCAGCTGCCCAAAGACAGGGAAGCAGTCTGGAAAGGTCTGCTCGGCCTCGCTGACTGCTAAAAGTACAACTCTGCAGAGACCACGAGTCCCTTGGCTTGGGAGAAAGGGGCAGGGACTCCCAGGATACGGCGCTCTGGGGAGGGGTGTGAGGCAAGCAGAGCCACCCATTCTCTTTCCACCCTGCCCTGCCCAAGACTCTCACCTTGGCCTCAACCCTCGACAGCCCTAGCTAGGTTTCTGGCCCGGGGCGGACAGAGCAGTGTGACCTGGTGGTTAAACCCAGGTGTCAGAAACACCCTCAGCCGCAGCCGCAGCCCCACCATCCCTGCTGAATGGCCTTGGGCAAGTTACTCAGGTTCTCTGAGACTCGGTGTCCTTCGGAAGATGGTGTCACCAGGGTCTCGAGAGCATACAGTGAGGATGCAAGCACCCCCGAGGGCTCCAGGAACACAGTGGCGTGGTCATTGCCAAGTGGCACAAATGAATGGCTGCCAATCCCAAGAGGCCCCATCCCCTCCAGGTTCTGGGTACAGCCCCATCCTCTCCCTTCCAGCCCGCAACTTGCCCTAGGTTCCCCTCAGATGCGGTCAGTATCTAACTATTCCACCCTTATCTCCCTGCAGTTACCCTGGGGGTCCTAATGCCCCCGCAGGCATGGGCATCCCTCCGCACACCAGGCCGCCTGCCGACTTCACTCAGCCTGCAGCAGCTGCCGCGGCAGCGGCAGTGGCAGCAGCGGCGGCCACAGCCACGGCCACAGCCACGGCCACTGTGGCAGCCCTGCAGGAGACACAGAACAAGGAAATAAACCAGTATGGACCGGTAAGGTTCCCACTAATCTGGTCCAGCTTCGCCCAGCCAGCCAGGCAGACAGCCCTGGGAAACCAGAGCTGGGGCGTCGGTGCTTGTGGGGCCACGTGTGCTGGGGGAGCTGACTGCATTAGGGTACATTTGGGCTTTTATGGAAGCATGTGGAGGTTTGTGTGTTTAGAGTGGGGCGTGTGGGTGTGGTGTTTGTTCTGTGTGTGTTGGTGGCTCGTGTGTGACTGCATATGGGGAAAAGGTTCCACATTGCTCTCTGGGCCCCTTATTCACCAGAGTGGGCTCAGTGTCTGAAAACAGTCTTGTGACCAGTCTGTCTCCTGGATTGGCTCTGAGGCCAGTGCCTTCCTAGTCACCCTCTCCGTGGTTCTGCCCGGGCCCCCGTGCTGCTTCCAGATTTTCAGAAGGATGGGATTGGGGGATGAGGAGAGGGGGAGCCCCCATAGGAATGCAGAACAGGAGCCGAGGAGGGGGGACTACAGGGCAGGGGGGCAGAAATGGAAGCTGGGCTGAGGCTGCCTTTGTGGATGGAGGATGCGCCTCCACTGGCCCAGGACCAAGGGCAGGGCCAGGGCTTCCAGGAAGGGGGCTGCAGCCTCACTCAGGCTCCTGCCTCCACTCTCATCGACCTCTGCCCTCCCATGCCCCTCCCCATCCCTGCACCCTTTCCTCATTTTCTGCCTGCCTCCCTCCCTGGAAATGCTGCCTGTGCATTGGAGTGACCGCCCTACCCACCCCCCCCACCCCCTAACACTCCTGAGCTGCATCTCTCCTGTGCGGCTGCAGAGGGCAGCAGTGAGCCTGGGAGGATTCTGGTCCCTTGGGGCCTGGTTGGTCCCCAGTCACACTGGGCCGCACAGGACGGTGTCCCCCTCCCCGCCCCTGCACCTCCCCCACCCTTCCCTCCCTGCACTTTCAATGCATGTGGCATTTTATTATTTTTTTTTTTTTTTTTTTTCTTCTCCTGTTGAAGGTCTGTTCCTCTTTCCAGATGGGTCCCACCCAGGCGTATAACAGCCAATTCATGAACCAACCGGGGCCGCGGGGGCCGGCCTCCATGGGGGGCAGCATGAACCCCGCGAGCATGGCGGCTGGCATGACGCCCTCGGGGATGAGCGGCCCTCCCATGGGCATGAACCAGCCCCGGCCGCCTGGCATCAGCCCCTTTGGCACGCACGGGCAGCGGATGCCCCAGCAGACCTACCCGGGCCCCCGGCCCCAGTCCCTTCCTATCCAGAACATAAAGAGGCCATACCCTGGAGAGGTGAGTACAGCAGCAGGAGGTTGGGTGGTGGGAGCTGGGACACCTGGGCTTGCAGATATGGGCCGTAGGTATGGCCTTGGAAGGGGTATGGCTTGGACCCCAGCACACTCAGACAAAGAGGTAGGGCCTTAGGGGTTGGGTGCTGCTGGGTTTGAGACCTGGCTCTGCTGTTTCCCAACCAGATGGCCTGGAGCCAGTCACCCTGCCTCCTAGGGCTGCTTGAGGGACTTGAGGGGACATCCACGAAGTGCTTCGCCCTGGGCTGGCGTGTGCAGCCACTCAGCAAGCAGCAGGTCCTCTTACTGTAGTGACTCCCTTGTCTTGGTTCAGCCACTAACTGGGTGACCTGGATTTAGTTCCTCCTGCCCACATGAGGGTTTTCCCAACTCCTTTCCAAGAAAGAGAGCTGAGACAAAATGGTTCCAGCCTGTCAGGGCCGACCTGTTGGGGAAGTGAGTGGAGGACAGGCAGCAGGCTTCTGAGCTCTTGTTTCCGTCTAGTTGGTCACTGTATGGGAAGTGGCACTGCCTCTTGGGCTGCACAGCCCAGCTCAGCCAAGGTGCTGGGGAAGATTTAGGGAAGTAAAACCTGCGCACCTCCTACCCTCTGGGAAGTGCGGCTTTAGCAGGAAAGCAAAGGTTTGAGCAGAGACTCACCAGGGAATGAGGTGTAGCAAACTGCACGGAACTCGGTGTGAGTCAGAGAAGGCAGGCTTCCTGGAGGGGGTGTCACAAGGCTGAACCCTCAGAAAATGATGCTGGCAGCAGCCAGCCCATCTGGGTGCCCAAGTAAGGATTTAATTTACCTGCAGAAGACGTAGAGACGTGGCTCTGCAGATGCCCCTCCTGAAGCCTGCCCTGGTTGCTCCCCATGACCAAACCCCTTTTTGAACAGGGTGTGCCCAGCTCTCTGCTTGCATGACCCCTCTCGGAGCAGTTTTCTTCTCCTGGCTCCTCTCAGCATTGTGGCCTTCAGCCTGGGCTTACAGTGGCTTCAGATCCCAAAGACCTTAAGTTCCTTGGAAATCTGCACATTTCCTCCCAGTATCCACCTTAGGATGGGCTGGGAGGCCTGGCAGCAAGCGGAGGTGTCCTGAGTCCAGGAGGGGGGAGAGAGAGGTCAAGGGCTTCCTTGTGCATCCAGGAGGCTGCGTCAAGCCCCAGCCCTCCACCTGGTGGACACTAGTTCAGGGAGGGACCAGAGAAGGACCATGGGCTCCCAGGTCCTGGATTTGGGGCAACCTCAAGCTACTGGCACCTCTCCTGGCACACAGCCCCTGTGCAGTTTCTAGGCCTTTCCTCAGTGCTCCCGCACCTCATGCTCAAAATCTCAGTGTCCCGCTGGCTGTGCTCTGGCTGCATCTGTGAGCCCACGCCAAAGGAGACAATCTGGGAGGAGGCTGTGGCAGAATTCCTGGTCATTAGCATCACCCTGCACCAGCACCAAGTGTTGTGCTCCTGGCTCTTGCCTGCCTAAAGAGACCACACCAAAGGCTCCCTGTTTTTGCTAAGTTAATCATCCTCGTCGTAGAAGGCTGCTGCTCCCCAGCTATAGCACTGGGTGGTCGCAGCCTGTGCAGCCTGACCTTGTCTGGGAAGACTGGCCTTCCTTCCCCTTGCCATGGCTTGCTCATACGGTCTTTGAATTGTTGGAAACTTAGGGCATGGGTTGGTCGGGCAGGTAGGCACCAGCTACTTCTGCACCTCTCATGGTGGGTGTCTCACTGCCACCCAGAGCCGCCACCATGTTTGTAGATTCTTTCACACTGACACTCCCTGACATTATCCCCAAGTTCATCATTCATTTGTTGAGCAGGTATTAAGGGCATTTTGCTAGGCACTGGGTCATAGCCACCAATAGGACCTGTGGGCAAGAGAGACACTCAGATGGGGAAGAAGAAACCACTGACTCACAGGATGTCATGTGGCCCTGAGGGTCACCTGATTTTCCAGACAGGGAAGGTGGCTGGAGGGTGGTGCTGTCTCCTTGTCTGTAAATTGCCTCTCCTGGGAGAAGTTGTCTTGTCCCTTCACCAATCTGGCTCTCCCAGCCCCTGCACAGGTGGCAGGTTGCTGATGGCCCAGAACTGAACACTAGACATGTGTTCTACTCCGAGGGGAGTTACGAGGACAGTGCCACCCAGGTTCAGCCTCAGAATGCGGGGGTGCAGGGGGAGTTCCCCTGTCACATTGGGGTACAGATGGGGGAGCACAGCTCTGAACCAGGCGCTAGGAGAGTCACAAAGGTTAGGGAGTTAGAATCAGGCCCCTCATAATGGTGTGAGCAAGAGGCTCTGAAAGTGTCCCTGGAGTTCAGGGGGCCCATGTCCTCCAGGAAGAATGGCCTCAGGGGAGGTGGCCTGTGAGCTACACAGGCAGAACACAATGTCCCCAGATGTCAGGACAAGAAGGGGCCCAGGCATCATCTGGTTTTGTGGGTGGGAAACAGCAGGGGCAAATGCGGGGAGGCGGGCCCCATCCCGGTGTTCAGGTGAGCTGCCTGTGTGACACTGGCAGCACTGAACGCGTTTCCCCTCTCCTTTCTCTGCCACCACAGCCCAACTATGGAAACCAGCAATATGGACCAAACAGCCAGTTCCCCACCCAGCCGGGCCAGTACCCAGCTCCCAATCCCCCAAGGCCACTCACCTCCCCCAACTACCCGGGACAGAGGATGCCCAGCCAGCCGAGCTCCGGGCAGTACCCGCCCCCCACGGTCAACATGGGGCAGTATTACAAGGTGAGTCCCAGCCTTGCCACCACCCACGGGCTCCGCTCCCTGCTAACCACCTCACACCCCTAACTCCACTGGGATCACTGACCTGCGTGTGTTTGCCCAAGGACACCAAAGGATGGGTGATTTCTGAATGTCCCCATGTGTTCAGGGCTAAGTTCAGTGGCCAGAACATCAGACTGGCTTTTCTCAGTTCCTGTTCTCATTGGTCTTGGATGATGGGTTTTCATTTTCGTTTTCTTTTCTTATTCATAGCACTCACAAAATAATAAAAGAAATATATTTTATTTTTTTAAAAAAGCACACACCCTGTATATATTAACATTTCATTCTAAACTTTGTCTCTCTATGTGCAGGTGGGTACTCGCATGTTATAAAATTGTTATTACAGCTGTAACTTTCGATCTGTACCTTTCACTTCACATGAAATAGTAAGGATGGTACTTCCTGCTAGAGTCCCTGTGGTTTTTACTTTTGATGGCTGCCTAGTATTCTGCTGAGATAACCGTATCATATTTTATTATTCCCTCTGTTAGGCATTTGGGTTGCGTCTGATTTTTCACTTTAGAAATAATACTATGATGAGTATCTTCAGGCAGATAGCCTTTCCTTTCCTTAGGATTATTATAAAATATGTTCTCGGGAGTAGAGAAGACGCTTTACTGTTTTACATTTATTTGCCAAAAATCATACTAACTTCTTAACAGCCATCAGCAAACAGGTTTACCAGTTTTGCCCTGACTTCAGCAGACTAGGCATTGCTATTTTTGTAACTTCTCCTAAATTAATAGCTAGGGACAGAAAGAGGCACAACGCTATCTCCGAGGGGTAGCTGTCCCGCCCCACTCACTCCGCAGCCCAGCGTGGTGGGACTGGTAGCATCCCCATGCTCCTTGCAGATTTTACTGTCTGGAGGGAGAGTGGGCTTCTGATTGCTTTTGTGCCCCCCCCGATTTCAGCGTTGCTTATCTTGTTTTAATAGCCAGAACAGTTTAATGGACAAAATAACACGTTCTCGGGAAGCAGCTACAGCAACTACAGCCAAGGGAATGTCAACAGGGTATGTTCCAATTTAATTTAAAAATCCTAAGCCAGAGGCATTTGTTGCTTCTAAAGGTTCTCACTGTTCCTTCTCCAGCCTCTCTGGGTGTTTGGAGGGGCCCATGAGCGGGGGTGCACTTCTGTTCCTCTGTCCTGGGGCCCAGAGGTGCCCAGGACTGAGAATCCACAGCTTCAGTGGGGTGAGCCCCAGCGTACAGTGTCAGCCTGGCTGGTCTGGAAAACAAGGAGAGGGAGAGGAGCTCCTGGGGAACCTGGGCCCCAGATTCTGCAGGCCCCAACTCCATCTGGGGGCCCTGATGGGGTGAGCTTAGAGGGTATGGCCTTGAGTTGTGATGTGGGAAGCCCACCTGGCCAGGTGGCAGGAGGCCTCGGCTTCATTCCCACTGTCCTGTCCTCCAAGGGTTGTGCTGAGCAAGTCCCCCACCCTGAGCCTCTGTGTCCCCATTTGTCACACCAGTGGATAAGGGTCTCTGCATGCACCTGACACAGGAGCTCAGTGGTGAGACCCAAGTGAAGGTTGGGGAGGCCCTTCCCAGGACTGTCTTCCAAAGTGGGCAGAGACCTGTAAGACAGAAGGGTTTCCCTGGGGGAGGCTCTGCCCACCGCAGCTCATGGCCTCAGGCCCCTGGGGTGAGTGTGGTATTTGTCCATAGCCAAGGCCCCTTCTGTCCCTGTGACCCCATAACCTATGTGTGGCTTCTCTTTCCCTCCAGCCTCCCAGGCCGGTTCCTGTGGCAAATTACCCCCACTCACCAGTTCCAGGGAACCCCACGCCCCCCATGACCCCTGGGAGCAGCATCCCTCCCTACCTGTCCCCCAGCCAGGACGTCAAACCACCCTTCCCGCCTGACATCAAGCCAAATATGAGCGCTCTACCGCCACCCCCAGGTGAGGTCCCTCTTTTCCTCTGTCAGGCAGCTCCTCCTGCGCCCCCTCATTGGGCTGGGAGCACGGGCCTTAGCAGTCAGGCTGCCTGGCGGGTGGGCATGCAGAAAGGGCAGAGGCTTGAGAGCAGGTGAGATATAGACCCAGGGGCACTTTCAGGGTGGGGGTGGGCTTCCCACAGGCCTCCTCACTGCTGCCTGGGTGCCTGGAGGCTGGGAGGAAATCTGTAACAGCCAGGGAAGGAAGCAGGGAGGTGGGTGGAAGAAGAGGGGATGAGAGGCTGGGGTGGGGCCTCGAAGAATCGAAGCCATGACTCACTGGTATGCACTTGGCCTGGCCCTGTTTACACACCCCTGCCTTCCTCTGAGCGTGCAGACCAGGGTGAGCGAGTCCCACCCACAGGCCTGGAACCCATGGTGGCTGGGACTTATGGCTCACCCATCTCCTCTCCTCGCCCCAGCCAACCACAACGATGAGCTGCGGCTCACGTTCCCCGTGCGGGATGGCGTGGTGCTGGAGCCCTTCCGCCTGGAGCACAACCTGGCTGTCAGCAACCACGTGTTCCACCTGCGGCCCACGGTCCACCAGACACTGATGTGGAGGTACGTGTCAGGGCAGGGGTGCCAGCCCAGGCAGGCTGAAGGAGGCCCTCCAGGATGACTCCCTTGGACCCGAGTGTGGCCCTGGGCAGGTGGTAGCAGCATCTTCTGTCACCTTCACCTGTTCAGCATCATTGACAGGGCCCTGTCCTGCGGCCATCATGGGAAGTCTGCAGGTGCACAGGTGGATGAGCAGCCAGGGTGTCATGGTCCAAGGGCAGGGAGCAGCTGTCACCCTCCGAGGAAAAGGTAGCTGGCTCAGACCTAGGCTGGGGAGCTATGTATCCCATCTGAGGCTGTGAGCTGACAAGAGGGAACGCAGTCAAGAATTCCAGTGTGACTCATGTGGCCAGAGCCAGGAATGCAGAGATGAGGCTGGCACAGGGGCCAGGCCTGGGTTGCCTATTGCAGGGGTTCTGACCATTGGGCAGGGCTGCTGCTCAGACACTTTAGGCATGTGCTGGAACGCAAGGTCAGGAGGTCCCCTGCTGAGCCAGGCTCATGCTCAGCACCTTCCACATGTGACCTACTTTGATCTTGAAAATGGGCAACACTTTCCCTTTTGGCAGTGGAGGAGGCTGAGGCCAGAGAAGTGAATTGGCTTGTGTGAGTTCTCACAGCTAGCCAGGGGCAGAGCTGGGACTTGGGCCTAGGCCTGCAGGACACCAGGACCAACCCTGGGGGTCTCCACCCCTCGGTCTTTCATCCTCAGGCAAGATCACACTGTCTCACTGTGCTTGTGACTCAGAGCCCCTCGACTGGCCAGTGGGCATCTCAGGGGCAGGAGCTGGGTCTGTGCCAGGCACATGTGCACACGTTGCTGTTTTCTTGACCATGCTGAGCAAGCTGGGTGAGGCGGTCACAGATAGTTGGCATGGGCGTTCAGGACACAGGAGCTGTGACACTCAGGCAGGAGGGCAGAGGCTTTTGGAAAGGGGCAGACCCACTGTGCTGCCCGCCTGTACCCTGCTCACCCATGCTTCTTATCTGAGAGTGTCCTCATCTGGTAGGCCTCCTGCTCCTGGCTTGGTTGTCATGCATATGGGGTCACTGCTGGTTCCCATCACCCCTCAGGTGTGTCCTGGGGGGCCTCCTTGGGGAGTGCTCAGAACCAGAAATGGCTGTGGCCTGGGAGGACAGCTCCCAGCAGGTCTGGAGATGGGCTTGGTCGGCCTCACAGCAGGGCTTGTCAGATGAGTGCCTGTTCTTTTGTCCCTCTGTCTCTGTCCTGGGGAGCTAGGAGTTTACCCCTGCAGGGAGGAGAGTCCAGGGAGATAGGAGCTAGAGCTGTGGGAGTCTTGGGGGCAGTTTGGGTTGGAGGGAGTATCTAGAATGGGAGAGGAGAACTCAGAATGGGGGAACCGTTGGGGCCAGGGGTGGGGTCCTGAGGGTCTCGGAGGTTGTGGTGCGTTTAGAGGTGTGTGGCCTGGCTCGGGATCACTGAGGCCACAGACAGCCGCCCTGGCAGGGCTGCCCTGACTCCCATCGTGCCCCACCTAGGTCCGACCTGGAGCTGCAATTCAAGTGCTACCACCACGAGGACCGCCAGATGAACACCAACTGGCCAGCCTCAGTGCAGGTCAGCGTGAACGCCACACCCCTCACCATCGAGCGTGGGGACAACAAGACCTCCCACAAGCCCCTGCACCTGAAGCACGTGTGCCAGCCGGGCCGCAACACCATCCAGATCACCGTCACAGCCTGCTGCTGCGTGAGTGTGGCGGGCGGGGAACAGCAGTGGCACGGGCGGGCCCTGTGGCACAGTGTGGGAGTGCGGGGCATTTGGCTTCCCTCTGGTCTTCAGCCTTGTCCTTGGGTCGCCACCCCCTGTGCCCACAGCCACCAAAGATACAGTGTCCCCTTACCTGATTCCCGCCCAGGGCCTGTGCTGTAACCTTCAAACCACTGGGCCTTCAGAGCCACTGTGCCCTGGCTTCAGACGTGACCGCTTCCCCTGGACACTCAGCCTCCATCTGTTCTCCACACACACCTCCAGTTCACCCCTCCCAGCCCCTCCTCGCTGCCCTTCATTCTCTGGTCCGGGTCCCTCAAAGCCATGTCCTGCTTGCCTCATTCACCATCAGTTGTCATTGTCACCACCTCTTTCCCCAGACCCAACTCCCCCAAACCTGGAGTTAACTTGTTCTCTTCTTTCCCAAGCCTTTTGTCTTAGAGTCATGTATGGGGGTCCCTCCAACCTGTGACTTGTTGACTGGGGCCAGCTCTCAGCCACCCTCATGTCCCCTGAAGATCAGGGCCCGATGCATAGGCCTTGCTCAGGCCCCAGCGGAAGCAAATTGCCTGCCCCACTCCACTGGCCTCTCTCGGGGGTCACAGAGAAGGAAACACTCTGATGCTGCCCTTGTGAGCTTAGAGGCATGGAGGCCAGGGGGCATAGACCTGGGCAGCCCATCACACTCTGGCTGGGGAATGTGATGAGCTGTGTGAGGCTGCGCAACTGTCAGAGTGAGGCGGTTGATGGGTGGATGTTCAGGGTGTGCAGTTCTGGAAGGATTCCTGGAGAAGTGAAGTCAGGGATGAGCACCCTGGCAGGAAGGGCTGAAGACACATGATGGGAAGGCAGTGGTAGGGGAGGTTAGGAAGCAAAGCAGGACCCAGGCCTAATGCTGCATGTCCCATAACCTCATCCAGGGAGTATTTCAAAGTCCACCATGTCGATCTACAGCAGAGGCAGCCTTTCCAGAGTAGTGCCCAGGCTCACAGGTCCTAGGACACACCCTTTAGGAGCCTCTCCTAGGGCGGCTGTGGGATCTTGGGAGCAGTCTAGGGCTGCTGGAGCTGCGAGCAGGGCGGGCGTGGGGGCAGTGCGCAGGAACTGAGTGTCTGCTGTCTCCCTGCAGTCCCACCTCTTCGTGCTGCAGCTGGTGCACCGGCCCTCCGTCCGCTCTGTGCTGCAAGGCCTCCTCAAGAAGCGCCTCCTGCCCGCCGAGCACTGTATCACCAAAAGTGAGTCAGGCTGGGGACAGGGAGCGAGGGCCAGACCCCAGCCCCGCCTGAGTTTGGGACTGAGAAGTGGTCAGTGTTTACCTGGGACTGACCTTTGCCTCCGTGCACATCACCACTAGGCCCGGAGATTTCCCAAGCATGTCCCATCCTCAGGCGCATGCCTTCCTCCTGGACTGTTGTCATGATCAGACAAGCTGGGTTCCATGAGGGCCGGAAGGAGTTCTGGAACCTGCCCTGTGGGGAAGAGCTGGCAGGTCCAGCTTGGGAGCCAGGACAGGCGTACCTGCAACAGCAGCACAGGACATGAGGGAGATCAAAACAAAGTGCCAGGAAGCAGGCTTCCTGGAGGAGGTGATAACCTGAGCCAGGCCTTTAAAGGATGGGAGGATTTAGAAAAGAGGGCATCTTCATCAGACAGAAGGCATGGAGGGTGGATTCCAGATTCCTCCCCACTTCAACAGCTCGTGCTTAAACTCAAGAGAGGACTGGGCACTGGCTCACACCTATAATTCTGACACTTTGGGAGGCTGGGGTGGGAGTCCAGGAATTCAAGACCAGCCTGGGCCACATAGTGAGAGCCTGTCTCTACAAAAAAAATTAAAAATTACCTGGATGTGGTGGTGTGTGCCTGTGGTCCCAGCTGCTCAGAAGACTGAAGTGGGAGAATCATCTGAGCTGGAGAGGTCGAGGCTGCAGTGAGCCATTACCAAGCCACTGCACTGCAGCCTGGGCGACAGAGCAAGACCTTGCCACAAAAAAAAAAAAAAAATGGGGGTCCCATTTGAAGGCAACCCTGGGTGCGGACCCCAGGGCCCTGTGCAGGAGGTACAGGGCTACTCATCACGTTGCTGCCCTGGGATTCCAGCAGGCAGTTGTCCATTTCTACTTCCACACTCGAAGAGTGAAGTGCAATGAAAAGCCCCCTGAGGGGGTTTTCACTGACCCAGTAAATCAGAGAAGTGCCAGACTGGCTTTCCATGAGCTTTGCAGACGTCCCCCTTCCTATTGAAGGCAGGACCTTCTCTGCCGAGATAGGGGAACTGCTGCGGCCACCTCCTCGGGCACACACATACCACACGTGTCCCACATGGAGGCGGCAGCCTGGGCATCTGGCCCTCTGATCACCACACTGTGGGCCTTCTCAGTGTTTGGTGCAGGCTAGGGGGAGGACCAAGGCGTGCCTCAACTGAACGAGAAAGTGGGGAGCACTTGCAGACCCCCACCTCTGTGAGACTGCCCTGCCATCCTCACCTGTCTGTGCCTCCTGCCCCGCAGTCAAGCGGAATTTCAGCAGCGTGGCTGCCTCCTCGGGCAACACGACCCTCAACGGGGAGGATGGCGTGGAGCAGACGGCCATCAAGGTGTCTCTGAAGTGCCCCATCACATTCCGGCGCATCCAGCTGCCTGCTCGAGGACACGATTGCAAGCATGTCCAGGTGAGCGGACCCAGAAAACACAGCTCCAGCGAGCCACCTAGATGCTGGCTGGGATGCTGAGGGGTAGGCAGAGGGGCAACGGGACCTGCGCAGACATGGTCCTGAAGGATGTCATGGCGATCAGCTCCCAATGTCACTCATTAATTTCAGCCATCGTTTATCTTTGAGCATCTTTTCTGTATGCTTCAGGCCAAAGGGGCTAGAGAAATGGGTTTGGACAGCCCCTGCCCTGGCAGATGGCAGACGCCAGCTGGAAGTTCCACACATCGCAATGCTGGTTGAGGGCCCAAGAGCAGGGTGACACCTCTGTTCAGTTCATGCCTCCGTCCAGGGCCTTGCCCCAAGCAGGTGTTTAGGAAGTAGCCCTGGCGTGAGTGACTGTCTCAGTCTTAGCAGGCAGTGACAGAGCAATGAATAAAAGGTGGGCAGCCCAGCTGGGTGAAGAGCAAGGAGCCGTCTTGTGGAACCTGGATGTGGGCGTGCAGAGGGAGCCCAAGGCTGTCACCTGCAGCTGGTCCTGAGGGTGCAGTGGGACAGGAGCTTTCCCTCCTTCCCCCAGTGGAATGTTGTGGGCAAGAGGATGGACTAGTCACCTTATCTATCTGCCACAGATGGATGAACTTGATCAGACTTGTCCTTGGTGGCTGGGCTGAAGGAGCTACCCCTAGCCTCATTGAAAGGGGCTGTTACAGGACAAAAAACAGAGTCAGCTGGGGGTGGGAACCAGGAAGGCTTCTCAGAGGATGTAGGCACGGGGTCATTAGGGCATGGGAGGTGGTGTGAGGGATGCTGGGGTGGAGGCATCAGAACTCCAAGTGACAGAAAGGTGGCATTGCTTTCACTCCACCCAAGCCCCAGCCCTTAGGTTTCTCCCACAGCCTGTCTTTCTGTCTGGTGGGGAAGTCATCCCAAGGGTCCTTGAGGCACAGCCCGGCAGTTTCTGACAATCCTGGCCTCACCTATCTGTCTGTCTGCAGTGCTTTGACCTGGAGTCGTACCTGCAGCTGAATTGCGAGAGGGGGACCTGGAGGTGTCCTGTGTGCAAGTGAGTGATACCCACCCCAGCAGGGGCTTCCCTCATCCGCCAACCACACAGGGGAGGTCCAAATACCTCCCACCTGCCCTAAAAGCAAACCAGAACCCAAACATGGCAGAGGGGCTCAGGTTATGGGGGCTCCGGGTGGCCCCTTGGTATCAAGCGGTCACAGAGTCCCCCTCTCTTGTGCCTGCGGTAGTAACCAACAGCAGGGGTGGGACCCCACTGACACTGAGGTGGATGGGCTGTGCCCCCACCTCCTTGGGTCCCAGAGCAGAGGCCAAGGTCCCTTTTTCCTTTTCCAGTAAAACCGCTCTGCTGGAGGGCCTGGAGGTGGATCAGTACATGTGGGGGATCCTGAATGCCATCCAACAGTAAGTGGTGCCCCAGTGAGGGGCAGGGGAGCGGCAGGGGTGGGGACAAGGCCTGAGTTAGAGCAAGGTGAGCCCATGTATAGCGCTAGACACGGCCCTCCCAGGCCAGCAGATGGCGACCTGCCTCTCTGTCCCTTACCCTCGGGGGCCTCTGGACCTGGGGGCCAAAGAACTTCCCAGAAAGGATGAAACCCAGCCAGAGCAGGAGGCTGACAGTGCCCCCTGACCCTCCACCTGCTGCTCCCCAGGCAGAGGCCTTGAGGCCAGCTGCCCTGTGCCCAGCCACTTGCATTTCTAGCCTCAGTCTCCCCATATGTCAAAGATAGACATAGAAATCCCTGCCAGGCTTCCATCTTGTCCAGAGTGTGGTGAGAGTGGGGGCAGGGGCCTCAACAAGGTCACCTGAGTGGAGGCGCTTTTATGCCCAAAGTCAGGCATCTCCGAGCCTCATCTCTGCCACCCTTCCTCCCCCAGCTCCGAGTTTGAAGAGGTCACTATTGACCCCACGTGCAGCTGGCGGCCGGTGCCCATCAAGTCGGACCTACACATCAAGGACGACCCTGACGGCATCCCCTCCAAGCGGTTCAAGACTATGAGTCCCAGCCAGATGATCATGCCCAACGTCATGGAGATGATCGCAGCCCTGGGCCCTGGCCCGTCCCCCTACCCACTCCCGCCTCCCCCAGGGGGCACCAACTCCAACGACTACAGCAGCCAAGGTGGGTGATGCCGGGGCAGGGAGGAAGGGAGGAGGGCAGCCCCAGGTCCATGCAGGGGCACAGAATTTTGTGCTGATGGTGGCAGGGGTGGGGGGCGTGGTTGAAGAGGGAGAAGTAGTCTACCCCCCAATAAACAATCTCCAGTTTTCTAGACTTGAGGGTACATGGGCCTAGCCCAGGGGCTTCAGAGCCTGCCCTGGTGGGAGATACCCCTGCTGCCTCCTCCCAGCCAGTGTTCTCGGGCTGCTAGCGGCACACACCCACCTGAGTTCTTGGCCTTACCCTCCGCCCTCCCGTATTTTTCTGTGATATCCACATTGTCCCTGCAACTTTCCTGCTCTCCTAGGGACAGAGTCCAGGCTCCTGGAGCCTCAGTCTTTGGCCACCAAGGTCACCCACTGGCCCTTAACAGACCAAGTTTTACCCCTACTGCCACTGATGCCTGGAAAGTACCCTCACTGGGTGGCAGATCCGCCACCGGCTTCCCTGCTCTTAGGTCCCTGGGAGAGGCCCAGAGAGGTTAGGCCACCTAGCTAGACCCCCATAGTGTACCAAGGCCAAGCCGCCCAGCCTGTTGATCCTCTGACCCTTGCGATCACCACACGGTGGAGGGCACAGTAACCAGAGAGGCTGGGCAGCTGGCCTCTGCGGGCATCATCGTGAGTCTGGTGTGGCTTTCTTTGCGGCCTTGGCAGAACCTGCACCCACTCCGGGCCTGGCTCTTGCTGGGTATGAAAAGTGGCCACGTTGGGGAGCAGCCCAGCAGGTCTGCTGGGGGCTCAGGCCATGTCCTCCACTCCCCACAGAAGCCTTGCCCACCCCCCTTCTCCCACTCTGCCCCTAGCAGTAAGAGCAGCACGTGCCCTGGGGTAGCACAGAACACGGGACAGGGCTGTGTTGCTGCTCCATCCTATACCTGGAGTCAGGCTGCTGGGGCGACTGCGACCTTGCAAGAGGAAAAGGACTTGGCTTGTATTTTTACACACTCTGTGTCCCCTGGGGGTGGCCACTGTCCCTCTGGCTGACCCCTCTCCCCTCGCCGTCTCATCCCTTCCTAGGCAACAATTACCAAGGCCATGGCAACTTTGACTTCCCCCACGGGAACCCCGGAGGGACATCCATGAATGACTTCATGCATGGGCCCCCCCAGCTCTCCCACCCTCCGGACATGCCCAACAACATGGCCGCCCTCGAGAAACCCCTCAGCCACCCCATGCAGGAAACTGTGAGTACCTCCTCCTCACCCCACCCCATTCCCCAGCCTTTGGGGTTGAAGCCTTGGGATCTGAATACTCTGTTCCCTCCCAGGCAAGTGGGGAGGATGAAGAATTGAGTGTGTGGGCTCAGAAGGGAATAAGAGGTCTGTCTGAGGCTGGGTCATGGCCTCTCAGCATCCTTGGACTTGGCTGTTTTACCTAGGACTTCGGATTCTCTGGAGATGCGGGAAGCTTCAGGCTCCTCAAACACCCACCCCCCGTGTGTACACACACACACCCCGTGCGTACACACACACGTGCATGCACACGCCACCAGCCCTCTCCCTCGCCCACTTGAACACTCTTACACTCACCTAACACGGTTCCAGCCACCTTGACTTTTGTTCCAAACCCAGGCACTTACTCCCCAGGGATCTGAATTCAGGGTATTACCCCCTCCAACAGAAACGCTATGAAGTCTCATTATCTGAAAAGCATTCACTTCTTGTACTGTTTCACGTTTATGGACCTATACCCTTTGTGGCTGAGGACGCCCCTCGTGGGGTAAGGTGTCCTGTGCTGTCCACAGGCCCTCCCTTCCTGTGGCCCCAGTGGCAGGACAGGTGCTCCTGTCCTCTGGAGTCATCCAGTGAAGTGCCACATGATTCCACTCAGTTTAACAAACATTTTCTGAGCCATGCTCTGCACGGGCTGTGTGACAGATATAAGCAAGACAGGCCATACACTAATGGAGCAAAACTGGCAGTGCTTGGATGCAGGAAGAACAGTTGGGGTTTGGGAAAACTGAGGCCTCCAGAGGCTGACATGGTGTGTCTGAGGTCTCAGTCATTCTGGGCTCTCATCTTGGGGAGGAGGGGCCATCACTGAGCCCATGGCTGTGGATCCTGGGCCACATCAGCCAGGGAGAGGGCCCAGGTCCCGCCAGTGCCTGGCAGTGGGCTTGGGTGGCCTGCACAGGAAGGAGCCTCCAGATTATACTGCTCTCCACACACCTGACATGGAATTGCCAGAGCCACTCTTAACTCGTGGTGGGTGGAATTAAGCAGCAGGGCTCTAGGTGTGGGAGCAGCAACTTTCCAAACGCAGGACTCCAGGAGTCTAAGTCGGAAATAGATGCTCTGTGGATCTTTGGCCAAGTTTCTGAAAGTTACTCTGTGCCTTGGGGGGCTTGTGACTTTGAGGGGGCTTCTCTCCTCGTGCCCCTTCCTCAGCCCTGAGGGCATCCCATACCCAGAAGACATCAAAGTCACACGCCCCTACACAAACACACACAACACACACACACACACACACACACCCTTGAGCCCTCACAGTTTCTAACACTGGATTATGGAGTAGGAATGCTGTCTACTTCTCCTTGACAACCAGGCTTTCTCCTGCCTCCTGTGAGCCCTGTTGTCTATGTTCTGTGTGGCGGGACCTGAGCCCATGAGTTGACCTCAGAGCCCCTTAATATGCTCTAGAGATGACCCTGTCCCTGTCCATTTCTGAGTTCTCACTAAAGGGCAAGCAGACATGGAAGTACAGCTGTGCCAGGCTGGTGGGGCAGGGAAGTCACAGGTAAACTCCTACCATACCTGCCCAGCTGGAGACAGCCACACCCCCAGCTGAGCACCCAGCTGGGAGGCACTGCTGTGCCCTTGAGGAATGGCCAGAGCACTCCAGCCAGGTGCTGCTGCCCCACAGACTGCCCGTACTTGGTGGCAGGTTGACAGGTGTGTCAGCAGGGCTCCCACAGCACCCGCCCTTCTAGGCCGGAGACATTCCAGCCAGATACGGAGCCGAGAGGCACAGCTGCCTCTGAAGATCCAGGACCTGTCCATCTTGAGCTGGGCTGCACTGCTGGAGCGCAGAGCCCCTCCCTGCTCTCCCAGGGTGGGCACTGAGGGTGTCTACAGGAGCGGGAGCCCCCAAGCTGGCCTCTCACTGACCATGGGTGGTGGCCCATTCCTCCAGCCTCTTCTTGTGTGTGTTTCATAAATGGGTCCACCAAGGTCTCCAACATCATGGTTGTGAGGTCATCCCATTCTTGGGGCTTGGGTTGGAAGGGTAATGTGCTCCCTAGGGCCACATTGGGTTGGGGCCCAGCACCCTGAGAAGAGGCCACCTGGACCGTGGGCAGAGGCCAGCCCATAGCAAGGCCTGGGAAGCAGTTTTAGGAGAAACAGGAAGAGGAAGTTGAGGTCTGGCAAAGACCGAGGATGATGTGGCTACCCATTCTAAACGCACACAGGAAGAACATGTCAGTGTGTTCTGTGCGGCTGCCTGAGGATGGGGCAGGGTGAGGGGATAAAAAGACCAAGGAAGTATGGGCCAGGCTGCTGTTCCAGTGGAGCACCTGCAGCATCCATGCTCCCGCTGACTGGCAGAGACAAAGTAGGGCTGGGGGGCTGTCAGGGATGCTTGCAGTTGGGGTCAGGGCTTGGTCTGCGAGGATTCCCGGCTTTTCACTTTGAAGGAGGGTCTGCTTGGGACAGCAAACAGGCTAGCAGGGGAATGTTCACATCTCACCCACCAGACCACAGCCCAGTTTTCAGTGTCCATGCCCACGAGAGGGTGCGGGTCCTCTAGCGTATGTGTTAGGCATCACCAGCTTCACCCTCTGCAAGGCAGCCACCATTGGCGAACCGTCACTCGATCCCCTTGTCCTTGGAGACCCGGAGGTGCCTGCCTCCTTCACAACCCTGTTTTTGAGGGCTGGTGCCGACCAAGTGGGATGTCTAGGAAGAGGGTCTGGCAGGGTGCGAAGATGCCCAGGTTGGCCAGGTGCCCACCCAGCCCTCCTCCTCTGACAGCCGAATTCCAGCTGGGCCACAGGGCTTGTGCCAGGGCCCCAGCTGCTGCACACATTGGACTGGCAGAAGATGCCTTCGTGCCCAGTATCACCCCTGCCCAGGGCCCACTTGGGAGGTGCAGACCCAGTCCTGAGCCACACGCCTGCCCGATGCTGTCTGTCTGTGTCTGCTCTCTGCCGCCCGGCTTGGGGTCTGCACCACGCTGCGGCAGCCGCCCTCCCGCCTCCCGCTCCCCAGAACATGCCCATTCTGCTTCTCCATCCTGCCCTCGCTGTTGTTCGTTGTCTGGGCGGGGAGGCGGAGGGGCCTGGGGGGAGTGCCCAGGCCCAGCTCCCCGTGTCTGTGCTTGTGTGGAGGAAGCTCTCCCCACCTCCCGGGGCCCCACGCGGCCTGGGAGGTCCCCGCCGTCCGTCCCACTGCAGCCTCCCCGACGGGCGGTTTTAGGGGAGAGAGTTTTGTTTTTCTGCCCAGAAACAACGTTCAGCCTTGTACCGGGCGGCCACATTTCGGGGGTTGTGACTTCCCTGGTTGTGTTGGGGTTCATTTTCTCCAGGCATCTTGTTGCCGTGCCTCCTCACCTCACCTCTCTTCTCTCCCACTCTCTCCTCCTCCACAGATGCCACACGCTGGCAGCTCTGACCAGCCCCACCCCTCCATACAACAAGGTTTGCACGTACCACACCCCAGCAGCCAGTCAGGGCCTCCATTACATCACAGTGGGGCTCCTCCTCCTCCTTCCCAGCCTCCCCGGCAGCCGCCACAGGCCGCTCCCAGCAGCCATCCACACAGTGACCTGACCTTTAACCCCTCCTCAGCCTTAGAGGGTCAGGCCGGAGCGCAGGGAGCATCCGACATGCCGGAGCCTTCGCTGGATGTAAGTTGGGGTCGCCACTCGCCTTGGCCTGGGGCTAGGCCTGGCGCCGGGACCTGCCCGAGAGAAGGGGTGGGTGTGAGGGCTCGAGGCCCCGAGGGGAGGAGGTGGGTGGGCGGCGGGAGGGCTTCAGGCAGACCTGGCTCCAGACCAGGAAGCCCCACGATGGGGAAGTGTCACCACTGAGGGTCCCCGCCCTGCTGGCTCCCCCGTCACCCTAGTCCCTTTGGCCAAAATTCTGAGCCTCGGCCCTGACCCACCTTCTCCCCAGGCCCTGCGGGGTCCCTCGTGCAGCACGGGAGGGTCCCTGCCCTCCCCCAATGGTGAGCTGGCTGGGCAGGGAGGGCTGGAGGGAGAGGCTGTCTGTCTGCCTCGCCAGTGTGTGTCTGTCTCCAGTTTTCTTGTCCACGTGTTGTCCATGCCCTGCTTCCGCTTGCTCCATCGCTCACTCCGAGAGGCCCCCATGTGGGTGACAGAAGGTGGGGGCAGCTTGTAGCCTTGGGTCACAGCCAGGGGCCGCAAGCCAGCGTGAGCAGCCAAGGGCCAGGGCTCCTACCCTGAGGTCTGGAAGGTGGTCGGGGGGTCACCCTGGATGATGGGGCAGGGCTGGTGGGATGGGACCAAGCACCAGCCCTTCCCATGCCCACCACTGGGCTGGTGCTAGACTCCGGGAGGAGGCCTGTCCTCTGCCACTCTTGCCCTTCACCCCCATCAGCATCAGAGGGCTCCGTGCTAGATAGGACTCACTCACTGTGCAGCCATCTCAGGTCCTCACCCAGTGTCCACCCCAGACCAGTCCAGTGGGGCTGCTTTTAGAGTCATGAGGCTCCCCATGTGACAGACTCCAAGGACATCTCAGCAGAGGGTAGGGACAGTCTGCAGCCCCTCCTGGGCCATGGGGAAGAATAGCTGCCAGCCAGGCACAGGCTCACCAAGGAGCGACGAGCCTTCGAGAGAGGGATGGTGGGTACAGGGGTGCGGGGACCACCTCCTTGTGCTTATACATGAAGCATGTGATTTCAGTTGAGAGGCCCAAGTGACCTGCCATGGGGCCTCCCCAGCACCTAGGGCTGAAGTCCATGCCTGAAAAGGGTCAGCCCCACTCAAGCCTCAGCTGGTGGGCTATGGGTCCTGCTCGTCAGGCTGGAAATGAGCATGGGGGTGCCCCACACTCGGTGCAGCGGCCTGGGTGTGTGTGGCCGCCCGGCAAGCCCAGGCCCAAGGCATTTCGTGTTCCCTCTTGGCCAGGGTCCTGAGAGGCAGGCGGAGGGGGACAGGCCAGGGCGCCCTGCATTCCTCACCCGGAGCCTGCCTCTCGGCCACGCCTCACCTGAACTTGGTTACTGCTTCTTTTCCAGCTCCTTCCCGAACTCACAAATCCTGATGAGCTCCTGTCTTACCTGGACCCCCCTGACCTGCCGAGCAATAGTAACGATGACCTCCTGTCTCTGTTTGAAAACAACTGAAGGCCACCCGGTCGGGGCCATCCCTCCACACTCTGCCTCCTGCCCCACCCGTCCCACACACTTTTCCACCTGGGAGCCTGTGCCCTCAGACCGCCCCGCACCAGAGCCACGGGCTGTGGGGCGGGGAGCCCTCCCCCGCTGCAGCCCTCTCAGAACGGAGGGGCAGGGAGGGTGCAAGGCTGCGTGGGTCTGGAGCCCACGTTCTGCCTACAGGTCCTGGGCTTGGGCCCATGCCCAGCGCGGGCCTGAAGACCACCCTCCCTAGAGGAACTGGCCCGGTAAGAGGGCACACGCCGACGCGGCTTCCCGGTCCCTCTGCGTGTGCCGATTCCAGGCGACCTTCCAGTGTCCCCAAGGTTCTTCCATCTTCTAAACTGTAACTCTGCCTCCCTGCTTCCTGGCCCGGAGCCTCCTTCAACTGACTGTGGAGCCTGAGAAGGCCCCTGGGCCCCAGCATGGGCCCCAAGCCTTGGAGGAGCGCTGACAGTTGGTGGCAGTGAGACCGGCCCGCCCACCACCACCCACCACAGAAAAGCACAAACCTCTGGGAAAGAAAGACAACATCTCTCGGGGGCCGGGGGTCATCAGTTTGACCCCTGACCTCTAAGCCAAGATACCCCGTAAACACACACTCTCAGAAAGCAGAGAAAGGACAAGATTCTGTGTTTGAGAGGGGTCTGCCATTCCTGCTTTGGGATTGGTGGGAAAGAGGGCCAGGGCCTCCCCTAAGCCAGGACATCTCTGAGGCTCCACCTCCAAGCTCAGACAGGGCTCAGCCTTTGGGGGCAGAGAGAGCAGGTATGCTCCCAACCAGAAGTGATTGTGCCCTTGGTTGCGGGCGGAGCATGTCACCTATCGGAATCCGACAGGAGCGGCAACTTCTGTGCTCCAAGCCACTCTCTTTTTAAACAGCAACAATTTAAAGCTATGAAGTCACCTAGAGAAAAGGAACGTTGTGCTTGGACAGCAAGCAAACCATTCTCTCCGTGTGTTCTGTTTTTCTCCTAGTCCCTCTCGCCACCTCTCCAAGACTGTTCCGTGGGACACCCCCTTCCCTCTGTGTCTTAGTTCTCTTTGTCCAATCAGACAGCAAGAGCAGTGCGTGGAAAGGCCGGGGAGGGGCAGGAACCGGAGCCCAGGGCAATGGTGTCTGTCCAGCCCCTCCCTCTGTCCCTGTGCTCCAGCTGCCCCTGGCTGAGACTCAGGCCATGGCGCCATGCACCAGTATGTACCTGCAGGCATGGGGGAGAGGAGTGTGTTTCTGGGCCTGCCCCAGACACTGCCCTTGGCTGCCAGCCTCACCTGCCCGCTGTACCCTTCCACCGCAATCTCACCCACACTCCTGCTCATTCAAGCAAAAGCAGCCTCTGGCCTTCCCTCCACTGATTCGCTCCATGTGGCTTACGGCTCTCCAGGGCCTCCTGGGGAGCTTGTCCTGTGTTCACTTCGTTTCCGGCTGGTCTGTGCCCCGTGAGCCGCATGGCCTGGGGTGGTGCCACATTGTCCCACCACTGGGGTCCCGTCTGTAAATTCTTTGCGTCCTTCCCTGCTGCCGCCTGGGGCCCTTTCCTGCTCTCCCGGCCGGCCGCTGTGGGTGGTCCCCAGCACTCCTCTGTGGGCTTTACCGGAAAGGCAGCTCCCAGCTGTTGACTTCCAGTCACTGTCCCAGACGGCACAAGGTTTTCCGTAGGAAAGCTGCCATTGCCCCGGCCCTTTTTTTTCCTTTGTCCCGTTGTCGTCGAGGTTTTTTCAAATAGCGTGGTGTTCAATATGCAAATCAATTATTTTAAGAATCGCTTTTGTAAATATCTTTGTGAATATTTTAGTATCGTCTTTGATAATATCCAACATTTTCATGACCTGGTTATAGCCTTTGCTGGTGTTTTTAAAATACCTAGACTCAGTGACAAAGACCGAGTCTTCTTTTTTTTTTTTTAAACAAAAAAAAAAAGCAACCAGGGCTATTTGTACAGTTGAAGGGGCGAAAGAAGATGGTGGCTATACCGGGAGTAGGAAGACCCGGCAGCCGCTATTCAGAGCCATCCCTCAGTCAGCTGGCAGGGACGAGCCAACGCCAGGTAGCATGTGGCCACCCCTGCCCAATGTCTGTGGCCTGGCAAGTGGCCACGCTCTATGTCGGACCATCTGGGAATTAAGCTCCAGACAGACTTACAGATGCCTTCCTTAGGAGTTCTTGCTTCCTGCCTTGATACTTTGCCCCAGAAAGGCCTGGGGTTCATTCTGGTTCTTAACAGGGTGTGTCCACACTCTGCTCACAGGCGGATCCACAGCTTTCCAGTGCAGAGCCGGGATGCTACCTGCAGCCCACACCCCGGGTACCTCCCACAACCATCTCTGGGCTTGGCACCTAAGGCGGGTTTCCTGGGTCCCCTCTCCAGCAAGCCTCCACCAGCAAGCTCAGCCCAGAGCTTCCCTTCTGGCCGGCTCTGAACCGTGCGTGGTGCCTACAGCCCACACTCCGGGAACAAGCTCTTCCGGAGTGCTCTCGGAGCCAGGCCAGGATGTGAGGGAGGTGCAGAGGCACCCGGGGCGGGAGCAAGCCCCAGGTGGTGACAGATGCAGGTAGACAACGCCCATAAGCCAAGATGATCCTGAGCTCTGGAGAGATCCTTCCCCGATCCTTTCGGACGACTAGTTGGAGCCATAAGTAACCTCAGCAAAAACGAGGCCTCTGCAAGCCACTTTTCCATGCCAAGCATCCACCCGGCACACAGGCATGTTTCTGCCACCACTCCGTGAGATGGACAGGGAGCCAGCAGGCAGGCGGGAAGGGCCAAGTACAGGCAATCACCCCCATCTTCTTGGTTTGAAGCTTTATCCATGTATCATGTTCCCTGTAGCCATTTTATTTTTTAAGAAACTGCTAATACTTTCTCCCTAATGGAAGCCCTGACCCCCCCCCCAGAGAGCTACAGGTTTGCTCCCGAAGGGCCTCAGGCCTGACTCGTCCACACAGGGCTGTGTCAGCAGCAGCGACTCAAGGGACGTGTGTATATATGTAAATGAGAAATAGAGACGTGTCAACAGATGCATTCATTTCTCTTGGAATGTGTATTGTTTTTATTTTGCAAAACAAAACAAAAAAGAGCTTGGAACTCCATCAGGTGGAAAAACTAGATCCTGTTGGTTATAGCATTTGTGAGTTCTCCACGTCTGTCTCTCTCGCTCATGTAATATACTCTGACCCTGCGTGGAAAGGGATTTTTGTTCTGTTTTTATTTTACCTACATGTACTATTTAGCTTCAGTGTACTAGTCCTGCCACCTGTGTATTTTTAGGGTGCTATGGAAATAATGAAAAGAAACGGGGATTTCCGAAGAAAATTGTAACCAAATTCATACTTTGTATAATTTTTGATATCATGATCACAGGTGATTCACACGTACACACATAAACACACCCACCAGTGCAGCCTGAAGTAAGTCCCACAGAAAGCATCATCGTCCTTGTACATCGTATGTACAATGCAGTCATTTCATACTTTAAACTGGTCAAAAAACTAATTGTGATTTCTAGTCTTGCAAAGCTGTATGTAGTTAGATGATGTGACAACCTCTAATATTTATCTAATAAATATGTATTCAGATGAAACCTGTATATTAGGTGTTCATGTGGTTATTTTGTATTTAAAGATCAAATTATTTGACTATTGCTAGACATTTCTATACTCTGTTGTAACACTGAGGTATCTCATTTGCCCATGTTAATTTTTTTCTAAATAAATGGACAAAAACGAAGGTTTGGCGAATTAGCTATTTTGTGGATGTTAAGGAGCGGTTTGGGTGTTTTTGCTTTTGTTGTGAACCAGCACACCTGCCGTTACCCTCTGCACACACGAAGAAGAAAGCAGGCAGGTGGTTTCGGAGCGGAGTTAGAGGAGCCCTGTCCTTGGGGGTCCCTGGAACCAGCTCCTGGTGAGGCACGTGCAGTGTGTGGCTGGATGATGTGGGGAATGGGGGTGGCTGGATGGGGCCATGTGCCTGCGGGGTGCCAGGGGCTCCGGTGGCATGTGACTCAGAATGTCCAACAGTGTCCCATCTCTGATGGTCCCTTGTGGATTGTGCTGGGTTTAAGGAGAAGGAGCCTATTCATGTTAAGCCACAGAGGGCACTGTCGAGAGCGCTCAGGAGTGTGGCTTCATGGAGAGTGAGTGTTCACTGCAGCCATGCTCCCTGCTGGCGTCTCAGCGTCCCTGGCCTCTGCCTACTCCGTGAGCACACTTTATATGGGGTTCTGTCTCACAGACCCTGCCCAGGCCATGGTTCTAACCATCCTTCCAGCCTCAGCACCGACACAAACTCACAGCACTTGGTGTGTCTCAGATTGAAGTTTTAGGGACATGCATCTGACATAACCCCAAGCCAGTCCCTGCCCTCCCTCCACGAAGCCTGATCTTAGGAGGAAAGAAAGCATAGCCGCCATGGCCTTCCCTCCACATGGACTGTCCATGGAGGGGAGACGGGCCGGGCCGGCACCCCAGAGATCTCCACTCAGATGTACCCGGGTGTCAGGAGAGTGAGGGGCGTGTGTGCAGAAGCCAGTGGTGGGGGAGAGGCCACGGGGTGCTACCTGTAAGGGGCTGAGTGCCCAAAAGTCCCCACTCCTGGGGCCTCTCCAAGGTTCCTGGAGTTTCTCCTTTTGGAGGGAGATGGGAGGTGAGGAGGAGAAAAGCTTTACATTGAATAATGGAACACCAGCCACTGCTCAGCTGCGGGCACTGCCTTCTGCCAGCATCGCCAGGACAGGCATCCTCTTTGAACAGAGAAGAGGGTGGTTAGTGTGAGGGAGAGCTTTCCCGAAGGAGATACCCCCAGCTGTGCCTTAGACCAGTGTGGTGGGACTGGACCAGCACTTAATTAATACAGGTAAGAATGCAGTAGAAAATATCAGGAGTGAGATCGTTGTATCAAGAAACGCGCGCGCGTGTGTGTGTGTGTGCACACGCGCTGAGTCATGATGTTAATTCTTACTTGTGGGTTGTGGTTAAAAACAAAAAGTTTGAATGCCATTGCCTTATAGGCAGGAAGTGGGCAGGGGAGCAGGGGAAGGGAGGAAGGGCAGTGTGCTCCTCTAACTTCATGATAATAAGCAAAAGTTCCTGGCGTTTCAGCTGGAGACTGAGCCTGGGATGCGGTCCTGCGGCTGCCGCACAAGGCCACATGGAGATGGCCCGCCCCATCTCAGCTAACTCCTCCCCAGGCGGGTGACTTCCTTCTGTGGCCCTAACCCTGTGCCGAGAAACATCCACTCCAAAAGCCCAGCAGGGGGCCTGGATTGAGGCAGTTCAGAGCTGAGCCTCCCCGCACGTGGGGCCAGACGTCATGGATCACCTTAGTCTGCTCTTCTAGCCTGCTACAAAAAGCCTCCACCCTGAATCCACTGACTGTGTTCACGTAAGGCCATGGGGTGCTATTGCGGAAAGTCATTCAGCCTCACAGGTTGATGCCAGGACACACTGGGGTCTCCAGCCTCACTGAGTGCTAAGGCACTCACTGTTTAATGGCCCCCCACCATTTCCCTAGTCCTCAGCTCCAGCCTCCTGCTACCACGCCCACCTCCCTCTCAGCAGGTTACCTTACCCTCACCCAGCTCCCCACTGTCCCCACTGATACCCACAGACCTATCTCCATCCACCCTGGCCGTATCTTTTTCCACCCAGGCCCAGAGGATGTGGTGTCCCTTCCCCAGTAGGGGCCACCCCTCCCCCAGCCCCTGACACCATCACCCCGTTCTCTTCTGCAAGAAACCTCACTCTGTCAGCCAGCAAACCCTCCCTTTGCCTCTGCCTTCCGCCTCCCCGGGTTTAGTGGCCCAGGTTCTGGCACTGTGGGATTCAGCTTGGGCTCAGCTCCACCCCTCGATGGCCAGTCTCTGCTCCTTCCCACACATACAGGCTTCTCAGCCACAAAGCTGCCACTGCTCGCTCTCTTTCTCTGTCACCCCTCATATGCCTGGTTCGCACCCCACCAGTTACCTGACTCTTCTGCAAGCTCACCAGTGGCCTCTTGGTTGCTGATCCACGCTGCTTTCGACCTCACAGCTGCACCTGACAGTTGCCGTTTCTTTACTGAAGCACTCTTCTCTTGGTGCTATGGTTTGAATGCTTGTCCCCTCCACAACTCATGGTGAAACTTCATCCTCTGTAACAGTACTACGAGGTGGGCCCTTGGGTCATAAGGGCTCTGCCTTCATTAATGGATTGATGGATCAATGAGTTGGATTCATGGGTTAACACAGGGATAGCTCTGTTATCAAAGCTACCTTGGCACACGCTTGCCCTCCTCACCATGTGATGCCTTCTGCCATGCTATGACGCAGCGTGAGACCTTTTCACCAGATGCAGCCACCCAATCTTGAACTTCCCAGACTCCAGAAGCATGAGCTACATAAACCACTTTTCTGTATAAATTACTCAGTCTCGAGTATTCTGTTACAGCAACAGAAAACAGAGGAAGACACTTGAATTCCACGGCAGCTCCGTCTTTCATCTCTTTAGTTCTTGCATCCCTCTAGCTGTCCCTTCCTTGTCTTCTTTGCAGGTTCCTATGGTAATGAGGTGCTTGTGGTGCTTTGTCGGGATCTTCTTCACCAGCTGGCCCACCCATTCCGCCACTGCCATGGTTGTTGGCTGCCAACAGCCCACACTGTGTCCCTTTATCAGAGAATCTCCCTCAGCACATGGGAGCCTCCATGTCTGACAGGTTACCTGCCCCCTAACCGCACACACACACCCCTGCCAGGCAGGCCACAGCCAAAATTGACAGCCACAGGAAATAAAAGGCCTCTTTGCTGGGGCATAGTCGGTGCTCTCGAATCCTCCCTGTGGATCAGGTCAGGGGCTAGACTTTACCTGAGGCCACCTCCTTACTCCTCTCTCTCCCCTTCCTTGTTCTGCCTGTCTCCCTCATAGGTCTCTCCCAAGATCACCCCCTCAATAAATCCTGGAAACTGCGTGCTTATCCTAGGCTCTGCCCCTATCCAGATCTAAGATAGTGGGTGCTGGGAATGGGTCTGGGAGGCAGACCCTGAGGATAGGATGCTGGAGAGGTACCACTGACCAGATGGCAATGAGGAAGGCAGGAATCGGGTGGCAGTGTGCACCTGTGGTGAACTGGGATGGGACACCAGTGAGGGAGCTACACCAGCTGCAGCAATGTCTCTGACAGATGAGAGGTATGATCAAAGATTAACTATGAAGACTATGGACTTGCTAAATGTGGCTATTGCTAAATGTCACCGATGCATTGAAGAAAGAAAATTACAGATACAATGGCGATTTAGAGCATGAGAGTCAGAGGAAACCTCTTGGCAGGAAGCAGTGGAAAGTGCTTACGTTCTGTAGCCGGAGGGACAGTCCCATCTGGAGGGACAGTCAGGCAGAGGACTCATTATAAGAGCAACAGAAGCTGAGTAAAGACTGAATTATCCATCAATGCCTGCAAATCAGGCCCCTGGTGGAGAAGGAGACACCAAGACTTGGAATGAGAATTGCCACACCAATGCCTCTCACAAAAAAATGTTTATTATGACCAGCTGACAGAGAAAGAAAATTCTTGAGTTTGGGTGACAGATGGGTCGACCTGGCATGCAGGTGTAAGCCGAAAATGAACTGAGCCTGCACTACAGCCCCGTCCAAGGGTGGCCCTGAAAGACTGGTGAGAGGAAATCCCTCCAATAGGCAGAGATTTGGGCAAAGCACCTGGTCATCTCATGGCAAGAGAAGAGACCTGAAATAAGGAAATAGACGTGCACATGAGTAGTGGTGAATGGCTTAGCTCTTTATCGGTCAGAGGCCTGCGAAAACAAGACTGGATTATCAGAGGCAAAGAGGACTGGGAAAGAGGCTGGCGGATCTCTGACAGTGGCAAAAAATGTGATGATCACATATCACATTTCAACACACACCAAAGAGCATTCATTGCAGAAGCGACACCAAACAACCAAGTGGGCAGGATGACTGGGCCAGTGGACATCAGCCGGCCTGTCCTCACCCGTCATCCTCCATCCAGTGCTCGCACCATATGGGCTCATGACGGTGCCATGGTGACAGGGACAAAGTTATATATAACCCCAACAGCTTTGGCTTCCTCTCCCCAAGGCTGATCTAGCTACTGTCACTGCTGAATGCCCAATCTGTCATCAACAGAGACCCAAGCTTAGCCCTGATACAATAACATTCCAGGATCAGACCAACTAGCCATTTGGTGACAAGTTGATTACGCAGGACCCCTTCCCTCATGGGAAAGGCAGTGATTTGCCCTGACAGGATGGATGTCTATTCTACGTATGGGTTCGCCTCTTTTTCCAATGGAGTCTTAGGCCATTGGCACTATGGCTCACCAAGCGTCTGATTCACTGGGGCTCTTAGTCAACATCACTGTAGACCAAGAGAGCTAAGTCACCATGAGAACTGCATGGCAGTGGGCAGGTGACTGTAAGATCCACTGGTCCTTACACATTTCACACCACCTAGGATCTGCCAGTCTATAGGGGATAGGGTTGCCTCTTAAAGACACAGCTGAGGTACCAACTGGGTGTCACACCTTGTCAGTGTGAAGGATGTGGGGTGCTATCCTTCAGGTTGCCCTATATGTACTAAATCAATGACCTCCATTCCCCATCAATAGACAGATGAAATAAGCTTAATGTGAGAAGTGAGTGGATCTGAACATGCAAGGGTTGGGCTGTAGTGGACGCTGTGGCACTCTGCCCAAGTCCCTTCTGTGGGGCAATGCAC